GTTACAATGACTCTTATTAAATGAGCCTAAACTGCAAGTTATAATGCTCCTAGACACAAGAGCCTAAATTTTATACCACAAAGCTCTTTGAATTTGAGCTAAATCTCTAAGCTTGAAAGTTCTTCAAATCTGAGCTAAATCTCTATGTTACAAATCTCATCAAATTTGAGTTAAATCTTCAAGTTACAAGACTCCGTGTCGCATGCACCTAAACTGCAAGTTAAAATGCTCCTAGATGCACGAGCCTAAAACTTTATGTCAGAAAGCTTTTCAAATTTGAGCTTTCTAAGTTTAAATGTTCTTCAAATTTGAGCTAAATCTCTAAGTTGGGAAAGTTATTCAAATTTGTGTTAAACCTTAATCAACTTGAAATTCTCCAAGATGCATAAGCCTTAAACTGTTTATTACAAGAATCTTCAAAATTAGAGCTAAACTAGATTTCACATATCTCTTCAAATTTGACTTAAATTTTCAAATTGAAATACTCCTCGAAACACGAGATTAAATTGTTTGTCACAAAGTTCCGCAAGCTTCAGTTAAGTCATCAAGTTGAAATACTTTTTGAAGCACGAGTTTAAATTGTATGTCACAAAGCTATTCAAAGTTGAGTTAAATGTTCAAGTTCAAATGTTTTTTAAAATACGAGCTTAAACTGCATGTCACAAATCTCTTCAAATTTGAGTTAGATCATCAAGTTGAAATGCTCCTTCAAATACAAGCTTAAATTGTATGTCAGAAAAATCTTCAAGCTTGAGTTAAGTCATCAAGTTAGAATACCGCTTGAAACACTAGTTTAAATTGTAGTCACAAACCTATTCAAAATTGATTTAAATATTCAAGTTGAAATGCTCCTTTAAATACGCGCTTAAACTGTATGTACAACACACACTAAAAAACACTCTCCTAGTACTATAAGTTTCATGAGTGTAAAAACATGAAATGTTCCTGCTTGATATGCCTCATGAAAGTGAAATTTAGGAGTAATCTTTCATAAGACTTCAGACTTTTAACAAATGGTGGTGACTCAATGGGGTCAAACCCCTATAAATAAAAACTGTTTCAAGATGGAGTTTTTAAAATCTCCAAGTATGCAAGTTGAAGTATTTAAATTCTCCAAGTCTGCAAGTTGATGTCTTCAAATTCTTCAAGCCTAGTATTTGAAAGATAATATATTTCAGTAAGACTTGAAGTAGGGGTTATTTGTAGTCATTTAAAATTTATTGAATATAAATTTAGAAAATAATTCGAGTTATATTAACTTCATGAATATATTAGTCCAATAGATTAATATAAATGAGTTAATTGTTTAAATCTCATAATATTTATTTAATTAAAGTACGCTTGATAAGGCTCATATTCCACGTCTATTAAATCTAATTGGACGAAGGGAATCTTATCCTATCACAACTCCACTATTCAAAAACTATAAGTAAGGGTCCTTATAATGTAGAAAAGTAACAAAGAATTATAACAAGAATCTAGAGAAAGCTCATGGGTCAAAACCCGCAAATTTCTCTACAAATCAATTATTCAAACGTTCAAGTTAAAGATAACAATCAAGATCAAGAACGATCAATATCAAGACAACATCGATTCAAAATCAAGCTCGATGTTCTTGAATTGAACTAGAAGTCAAGATCAAGATAAAGTTTAAGTTAATTGAAGATTCAAGAACAAGATCCAAAGCCCTTGAATCCAAGATCAAGATCATCACGTTCAAGTCCATATCAATTTCATCAAATCCACAAATCAAGATGAAGACTACAAGATTCAAGAACAAGCTTGAAGCCCTTGAGTTTAAGTAAAAATAAAGATCAAGTTCATTGAAGATTAAAGAACAAGCTTCAAAGCCCTTGAATCAGGATAAAGTTAAAGTCAAATTTAAGATCAAGCTCAAGAGACCTTGAATTATATATGAAAAGTCAAATTTAGAGGAATCATAAAGATTGCGACACTCTCACTTTGAAATAATAAATTAAATATGATTGTTGCTATATTTTTTTATTATTCTTTTCTCAAAGTGAATTATATTGTCTACATACACGCGCACGAGCGCACATGCATTCACACGCGTGCGTGCACACACACACATACATGTGGTTTTCTAATTAATTGTATTTTGAACAAATTGTAAAATTACGTACATATTATAACTACAAATTACAATTTTTATGCCTAAATGTTGATATTGTTCAATTTTACTATTTTTTTAATAGACTTTTTTGTTAAAAAAGCAGATGATTACTCTTTTTAAATTAAAAATTGACATCTTGTGAGTGATTAATTTATTAATAAGACAATTATTATTTATTCAATAGGCCTAATTTTTATTTATTAGAGAAATACAATACATATTTGGTAAAACTACATATATGAGCCATAAAATGTAAAATAATTGCAAGTTAGTCCCATATCAAAAGTAATTCCTAAAATATCCATTCTCTCATAAAAAATTACAATTCATATCCCATTCATTACGGGTGATAATTTTTGCTGAAGTGATACTAAATCGGCATTATATGCTGTATTGGTAACATTAAAGTTGATAATTTCGCTTAACTGATACTAAAAGTAGTATCTATACTATATTGGTATCATTAAAGTTTCTTGTTTAGAAATTACGTTGTAGTCAATGATACTGTAAGAGTATACATTTATATTGTTGTAGTTTTATTAAGGTTTCTTGTTCAGAAATTACTCTTCAATCAATTATACTATATGTGTGTGTGTATACATATATATATATATATATATATATTAAAAAAAATTATTTTGACGTTGGAATCTGGATCACCCATAAAATGGTGTGCTCTAGCACATAAAATTGTCGAAATGGAGGGTATGCGCGCTTCGTGGCTCGTTTGACCTTTAAAATAGGTCGGAATGGCCGTGAGGGCCAAACAGCTGCATCGCCAAGGTCTTGATGGAGATGCCAAAAGACAATTTGGCATTTTGACATCGGAATCTGGATCACCCAAAAAATTGTGTGTTATACACAGAAAATCATCAAAATGGGGGGTATGCGCGCTTTGGGACTCATTTAACCTTTAAAATGGTTCAAACTAGCTCTGAGTTCCAACCGGATTCATAGCAAAGGTATTGACGGACCTCCACAAAATATTTTGGTATTTTTGACGTTGGAATTCGGATCACCCAAAAAATGGTGTTCTATAGCACACAAAAATCATTAAAATGGGGGTATGCGCGCTTCAGGGCTTATTTGACCTTTAAAATGGGTTGGACTATCCGTGAGGGCCAACCATATTCATTGCCAATGTCTTGAAAAACATCCAAAAAAAATTTCGGTATTTTTGACGTCGGAATCTGAATCACCGACAAAATAGTGTGCTATAGCACATGAAAATTGTTGAAATAGGGGGTATGCGCATTTCAAGGATCGTTTGACCTTTAAAATGGATCGAATTGGCCATGAGGGCCAACCCTCAATATAGTAAAGGTCTTGACGGACGTCCACACAAAAGTTTTGTATTTTCGACGTCGAAATTCGGATTATGCAAAAAATTGTGTGCTTCAGCACACTAAAATCATCAAAATGGGGGTTACATGCGTTTCGGGGCTCGTTTGAACTTGATAATACGTCAGAATAGACCTGAGTGCCAACCGAATGCATAGACAAGGTCTTGAAGGACGTCCACAAAAAAATTCGGCATTTTTGACTTTAGAATCTGGATCACCCAAAAAGTGCTGTGTTATAGCACACAAAAATCTCTAAACTGGAGGGTATGCACGCTTCGGGCTCATTTGACCTTGAAAATGCTTCAGACTGTTTGTGAGGGACAATTGGCTGCATAGACATGGTTTTGACGGACGTTCACAAAAATTTTGGCATTTTTGATGTTGGAATTCGGATCACCCAAAAAATAATGTGCTATAGTGCACGAAAATCATCGAAATGAGGGGTATGTGCGCTTCGGGGCTGGTTTGACCTTTAAAATGGGTCGTACTGGATGTGAAGTCCAACCGGCTGCATAGTCAATGTCTTCACGGACGTCCACAAAATTTTTTGGTATTTTTGAGGTCGAAATCCATATCACCCAAAAAATAGTGTGTCATTAGCACACAAAAATCGTTGAAATGGGGGGTATGCGCGCTTCGGGGCTCGTTTGACCTTTAAAATAGGTCAGAATGGCCATGAGGGACAATGTGCTTCATAGACAAGGTCTTGACGGACAACCAAAATGATTTTCGGTATTTTTGATGTCAAAATCCGAATCACCCAAAAATGGTGTGCAATGGCATATGAAAATCATCGAAATGGGGGTATGCGGGCTTCTGGACTCGTTTGACCTATAAAATAGGTCAAAATGTTCATGAGGGACAACCGGCTGCATAACAAAGTCTTGATGGATGTCCAAGAAAAATTTCGGCATTTTTGACATAGGAATTTGGATCACCCAAAAAATAGTATGCTATAATCTTTAAAATGGGTTGGACAGGCCGTGAGGGCCGACAGTCTGCATAGCCAAGGTCTTGACGAACGTCCACAAAAATTTTTGGCGTTTTTGATTAGATCACCAAAAAAATGGTGTGCTATAGTACGCGAAAATCATAAAAATAGAGGTATGCGCGCTTCGAGTTTCTCTAATTCCTTTATTTACGTGATCTATCACAAAACATACTTGACTTTTTTGTTGTCTTACTGCTATCTGAATATATATATATATATATATATATATATATATATATCATTGACTAATGAGTAATTTCTTAACAACAAACCTTAATGATACCAATATAGTATACAAATACTGATTTAGCGTCAATTCCACGAAATTATCAGTCTTAATGATACAAATAAAATATATAAACATAAATATATATATATATATATATATATATATATATAGTGTTATTATTTAGTGGGATATGAATGTAAAGGGGTATATACTTGTAATTATTTTGCTTTTATGAGATACTTGATTATTTTTTTCCCAAGTATAAGAAGTACAAAAGGCCCACAATCTAGACCAATGAAAAAGGAAAAAAGCTACAATGACAAAAAGTAAAAATATCTGAAAGTAGCTCGCCTCTATAGAAAAAATGTGACATAATAGGTCAGAATAATTTGTTCTCTCACTCCTAACTGGAGGAGCGGCATTCCAAAAAAAAAGCCCTTTCTCTAAGTGTTCTTGCTTCTTCTGAAATCTTGGTGTGAAAATCCGTGGAGCGCAGTTGCTTCCTGCTATAGAGCTTAAAGGTAATCTTGTTACACCTTGAATCGTGGACACTTTTAATCATTTTGATACTTTCCACTTTACTTATGTTGTTGTACTGACTTCTTGTTGCAAATCTGCGGATTGTTTTTTGAGTTCTCGAAAAATTCGACCAATAGAGATCTTGACTATAATTAAGAATATATTGTTGCTTCAATTGATGTTTTGCTTATCTCCCAATCTAAGATTTTCATAAAATATAATCTACAATATTTTTCAGATCTAAAATCAATGGGTTGAATCACCATTGAAATTATGATCGTAATATTATTAACATTCTTTTTATCTATAAACATAGTTAATTGAAGATACGACCAACTGTAAACTTTTTATAGCTTTTACAACATCATGGTAAGACTTAAAATTTTGATCTTTATGGTTACCTTACATTGCTTGCCTTTTCCGTGATGAAACGAATCTGAAGATTAATACCACCACCATAGTTAAGAAAATATATATTAATGTAATTGAAGTGAATTGCTTGCGGCAAATAAAGGTATAATATAAAGAAAAGGAATCTACTGTAATACTATAGGAATGCTGGTTTCATACCAAATGTGACACCCAAGCTCTCACCAAGTACATGATATATTTAACCAACAAAAACAATTTCAGATTTTACTTAATAAATATCATATTGTAACCTCTTCTGTCATTACACGCTTATGTTTTAACATTGTATCATATTAGCAGATCTACATTGTTGATGTCAAAAGACATGCCTGCCTGATTCTTATGTTTGGTATCCTCTGCTTGTCTAATTTGATAATTTGGTTAACTTGAACTGGGACTTCCTGAAAGTTGTTGTATTCAAAGTTACCTGCATAATCAAAAGCTAAGTTCGCAAAAAAGTCAGCAAAAAGTATTTCCCTCCCTTAAGGAGTGTTGTACTCTTACTGTCAAAGCATTCCATAGCCTATTAATGGAGTTGGCATCCATTGTCACTCTCCAAGGCACTCCTCACTCTCCATTAAAGATATGCACCAATGCCATAAAATAGGTTTCAATTATGACCTTAGATAATTGTTTATCAAAATAATATGAAAGTCCTTCTTTTATAGAAAGAGCCTCAGCAACCAAGTTAGTAGAACCAACTGTTTTAAGACCTCTGGCAACCAATATATCACTTTTAGAGTCCCTCATGCAAAAGCCTGCATATTTAAGTCCTGGTTTTCCCTGTGAAGCTCCATATGTGTTGCATTTCCACCAACCTTTAGGAGGTGGAAACCATTTTATCAATTTATACTGACATTTTGGCATAACCAAACTTCTTTACAAGAAATCCCTGAGTCAAGTTAGTGATATCCCGTATCACCTTATTTACATAGTATGTCCCTCCAAGCAAAATTGGTGTTTCTTCTCTTCCATATGAACCACATGATAATGTTAGGCATTAGCTAAAAAATCATCTTCTGCCAACTGTTTCCTTGATAATCCCACCACATTTTCATAGTTTGTTTCACCTAGATCCTCGAACCATTAAACCCAACATATTGTGAAAAATACTTCCAAATAATATTTCCCACTTCCCTTTAAATGAATAAATGCTCCACAGTCTCTGAATCTGGAACATTACAACAATTACATAGAGGAGACTGACTAGGATTCCAACTGGCCATGATAACTGCTACAGGGATCTTGTTTGTCCACACTCTCCATAAAAAAAAAGATACTTTAAATGGTAGCCCAACCATCAAGATTTTCTTATACCATTCAGAAATTACATTTTTCTCCTCAATAATTCCCAAGTACTCTTGAATAAAAATTGTGTACTCTTGAATAAAAAATGCTCAAAACTTGTTACAGTCCACCATGACTTGTCAATTGCATTTTTCTGCTTTACCTGATCTAAATAATTTTTAACATGTTGCACAACCTTATTAGATAAACAGTACTTCATTTCCTCATAATCCCATCTTTCCTCTGTCATAAATATGTCTACCACAGTGATAGGGTAACAAAAGAGTTGAGGTTGGAGATGATACAATGTACGTAGTTTATTCCAATTATCATACCAAATATATACAGATCCACCCTTAGGTTCCCACCATATATGCTCTTCAAGATACTCCCTATTTTGTAACATAAATTTCAAAAATTGTGTATCTCCCTTCCACTGAACTAGTGTTGGTATTTGCTTCTTACGGTACTTGTTCCACATATAATTAGCCCATAAAGTATTTTGAATTCGAAATATTCACCAAAGCTTAGCATACATAGCTTGTGACTAGTGCCGGCAAAATAAGCCCATATTTTGGTGACCCGCCCAACCCACCCAACCCACCCATATTTTAATGGGTTGAGTGAGTGATTTTTCAAATGGGTAAAATATGGTTTGATACCCTTATCTGATCCATAAAAATATGGGTATAATATGGGTAAACTATGAATAGCCAAATGAGGTAAGCTTCAAACTTTTATTCACTCAAAATTCGTGATATCACTAAAAATAGTGTAACTTCTTTTCCTTTTCATGTTATGTCATAGAATTAAAGACTTTTCTCTATAATTGAAAAGGTGAAGTCTTTGACCCTCCAAAAATATATAATTCAAATGTATATTTCTTTTATTCATTATAATTACGTTTTATTTATCTATTTAACTTTATATTGGATAATCAATAATACTGTAAAATAAACAAATCATGTATTAGTATTGACATTGCTTAAACTGCATCAAAAATGATTTAGTCCTAAAATGCAAATATTCGTTTACTTTGAAATTAAAAATATTTTCATCTTCTAATTACATAAATTTATTTTATATTGATAAGTTAAAGGATCTTTTGTTTTATTTTTATGATACATTAAAACTAAATGAAGCATAATTTTTCATTTAACAAAAATATTTTCTCCATATTGAATTTTTAAGTAAAGTACTATTTATTAATGAAAATTTGAGTAAAATATGGGTAAAGTAGCATTTCACTGAACCCATTTATCACCCAATCAATTTTTATCCATTTCAAATATGAGTGGGTTGAATAATTACCCAAGTTATGTTTATCCATTTTCAAATTGCGCATATTTGACCAATCCGCCCATTTTCCACTACTACTTGTGACACTGCTAATATTAATTTAAAATCCAATCCACCTTCCCGCTTGAAGGTAAACAAACTTTATCGTAATCAGTAATTAGCTTCCCACGTTAACCTTATTTGTCCAAAAGAACTTAGTAAAAATTCTATGGAGCTCTTTTAAAGTACATGTACGAAGAACAATTGAGCTCAAGACTTCTTTACCCCCATAAGATGCATGTTCCCTTTCCAAACCTCCAATTTTTTGACTTGACTCTCTTTATGGGCTCATCATAGTGAGATTTCCTTTTTCTACAATGAGTTGTGGGGTAGCCAAGATAACATAGAGGAAATTAACCTCTAGTAAACCCTATGCACTGCTCTACCAACTGTTTTACCTCTCCTGCAACATTTGACGAAGAAAGACACTCTTGTGCTTATTTTATTATGGCCAGATATAATTTTATGTTCCTGCAAACATCCCATTATTCTCTCTAAAGAATACTTATTTGAAGAATTAAAAATGATGGTATCATCTGCATACGCTAAATGGTTCAGATTATCACTCAACTTAGGTAACACAAATTGATTTTTATCAATCAATGCATTTATTGCCCTACTGAGAACCTTTGTTAAGATTATTTTCTGCTGAGATAATGATAAAGCAGGAGACAAAGGATCTCCTTGTTAAACTGTTCTGGCGGAGTGAAAGAATTCATGTACATGCCCATTAATAAGTACAAACACCTCTGAATATCCCATCTTTCTTTAACACCTTCATTAGAAAAAATCACAAGATCCTATCATATGCCTTGGACATATCTAGTTTAATAAGAAAATTACTAGGCTTTCCTCTCTTCCTGATATCATAAACAATTTTCTAAGTTAGTAAAATATTCTCAATAATACTTCTACCCTTTACAAAATCTGACTAGTTAGGAGATACCAATCAAGGTAGCAAACCTTCAATCCTATTATGCATCAATCTAGAGATGATCTTATTGATGAACTTACTCAAATTAATAGGCCTCAAATCAGTGAACTCATGCACCCACTCCTTCTTAAGAAACAAGACCAAGTTAGCATGAATGATCAATTCAGGCGGAGTGTTACCCTTGAAGAAATCAATAACCATCCTAAGAACATCACCTCCCACTATCTCCCAACAACTTTGATAAAATCTTCTGTGAGCCCATAAGGACCACTACCACTATATTCATCTAATTCAAAAATAGCTCTTTTAACTTCATTGAATCTACAAGGATGAACATTTTCTTCATTAGATATGACTTCAGGAATATATCTAAGTAGTTTAATAGAGTCTGCTTTTGCCTCTTGAGGAAATTGTTCTTGAAAAAATGACACTGACTCAGAGGCAATATTAGTACATTCTCAAGCCAATCTCCTTGTCATTCCTTGATATTTCTGTTTCAATTTTCTATCCAATCATACCCTGGTTTTTGCTGCCAAATGAAGATACTCCTTATATTCTGCTTGTGGTCTTTGCAACACCTCTATATTAACCATAGAAGGTTCTTCTTCAAATAACATCTCTTTGATTTTCACAATGTCCTCCCTACTAAGAAGTTGCTTAAAAATATCTCCATACACTTCTCTGCTCCATCTTATTAGGGCAACTTTTACTCTTTTAATATTCTCTTTGAGATCCAATTTAGTATAACCACTTCTGAAGAGGTATCGTTCTCTGTCAAAAACATCAAAAACCTGAAATGTTTTCTATGTCTAACCACATAGGTTTCACAATGCAGCAGCATAGGATCCTGTCTTTGGCAGATATGATTTACCAAGCTTTCAAAGCTGCAATCTTTCCAAGCTCTCTCATTCCACCAAGTGAAAGGACTTCTTTTAAAATTCACTTATTATAAGTCACAAGATAAGATACAAGTCTCAAAATCTTCATAATCAGCCGCAAGAACGGGTAAGCCACCTTAGAATTCAAAACCACATTAAAATCACCCCCCAATCAGCCACGGCTCACTAATTATTGTTACAACTTGATCAACATCTTCCCACAACTGTAATCTGTCATTTACATTTCATTTAGCATAAACCAAAGTAACAAAAAATATGACTTTGATTAGCCTGTGCTAACATGATAGTTAAGTGTTGCTCTATATCATTATCACTGTAATATCAATATCATGATTTGCAAAGAGACAAATCTTTCAAGAACAGTTTGCACTAACAGTAGGCATCTTTAATCTTTTCTTGTATCTGTTAATTTCACTGACATTTTGAAAAGGTTCTACCATCCAATAAATAAAAACTTATGTAGAATTTGAACCCTTTGAAACGCTTGTTAGGACTTCACTGATCTAATATTTCATATTAAAGATTTCATATTTCTGTGAAATGAATTTACTTTTCTTTGGATGAACCCTCATAGCTCGACACTGCTCCCAATTACCTTGCTTTTTTCCTTTTGTTGCAGAGTTCGATAATCTAGGTGATAAATCTCCTTCTAATGCAATGTTGTCAAGGACATCTTCAGGTCTGTCTATTTCATGATTACCCTTTTTGCTTTGATTTGAATCTGTATCACCACAGTTGTATCTGATATTATGAGTCACAAATATCATGCAGAACCTTGTTAGGAGATTCCACTTCGTATACTCGAATTGCATAAACTTATATCACCTCAGGAACCTCCACTATTGCAAGATGATTATATTCTTGGAACTGTTGCACATGAGGGATATTGTTGCTATTTTCCTTTGTCTCTTCTATCTATAGGTAATCCATAGTCATCTCCTCAGTAACCTTTTGGTTATTACTGGCCTAATTTTTTATACCTACTACATTCTCTTAAACTATTTTTTGATTGCGAATAATGATGGACTACTGCTTCTTGCTGATTTTGTTGATTAGGACCAAAGGATTTAGACACATAGTCATAGCGAATATCCACTATGGTAGAAAATACTTCATAAAAAAAACCTTGTATTACCTATCCCTGCACTGCTAACCGCTACATTACTCATCCCTTCATTACTATTCTTTATTAATCTTTGTTCTAAACGAGCCCTTATTGGGCTGAATTATCGTTTTTTGTAGTTTGTATTATAGTTTTTCTGCGAGCAAATACTGTACTTTTCTACACTACTTCATTATCGGGTATTTTTGTTCAAATTTACCCATTTTTCATAGGCGGTGCAAAATACCTTCAAAAAGCAAAACAACATAATCTATACTAAAAAAATGCATTAAGGATATGCAAAATCTGTGATATAAAAATGTCATAATTTAATGGCACATCAATACCTTCAATTTAATCTTCTATTGGTACTCAAGAAAGTAAAATTAATACTAGTATCAATTCAAGAATGACTACGTTGGTACAATCTATTAATCTACAAACAAGTGACTTATTTAATGTTAACCTCATAATTCAAAATGAAAATGCAAAAGTGTTTAAACTATCAATCATTTAATGAATCTCAAGTCACAAATGATGACAAGATGTTACTAGAAACTAGATGTGAAAATATACAAGAAATCGAGAAACTTATGTTGTCACAAGTTTCATGTTATTTATATGCTCTCACTACAAAAAGAAGTCCCCAACCTCAAAGATCATATGATAATCAAAATATAGGAAATAAAGAAAATAACTCACACACCCTAAAAATGTCAAGTGTCCTAAGTATTATGTCATAAATTTTCCTTATTTTATTTTTTTTTAATTGAAGAAATACTTAATTTTTGATCTCCAATGACTTTGTGAGCTTATAATGTCTTTCTGATATGCTCATAGGGCGAACTACTAAGCGAGCAAGCCTGTGAACCTCCTTCTCTAGTTCTTTTATTTCTTACTTAGCATGTGCTACACTTCCCATAGATAGTCTGCTCAGAGCATTTGCTACTAAATTGGCCTTACCTCGATGGTAATGCACACTCATATCATAATCTTTGAGGAACTCAAACCATCTCCTCTGGCGAAGATTCAATTCTTTCTGGGTGAACACATACTGAAGTCTCTGATGGTCAATAAACACATACGTGAACACCATACAAGCAATGTCTCCAAATATTAAGTGCAAACACCACTGAAGCAAGTTCAAGGTCATGAGTTGGGTATTTCTTCTCATGCACCTTAATTTTTCAGGAAGCATAAACTATAGTCTTACCTCGCTGCATCAACAAATAACCTAGGCCAACTATGGATGCATCACAATAGATCATATAACCATTTGAACCCTCTCGTAAACTCAAAATAGGAGTTGTAGTCAACCTAGTTTTTAGTTCTTGTAAGCTTTTGTCACAATCATCTAACCACTAAAATTTGACCGTTTTCTAAGTTAACTTAGTCAATGGAGAGACTATGGATGAAAATCCTTCCACAAATCTTCTATGATAAACAACTAAACCTAAGAAACTTGTGATATAGAAGAGGTAGGTATGAGCCATTTCACTACTTTTATTTTCTGAGAATCCACTCATATCCCTTTGCTAGACAGATTATGCCCAAGGAAAGCAACTGACTGCAACCAAAACTCGCACTTGCTAAATTTAGCAAATAAATGATGATCTTTGAGAGTTTACAGAACCACCCTCAAATGATTCACATGTTCTTCCTCATTCCTAGAGTAAATGAGGATATTATAAATAAAAACGATAACAAACAAGTCCAGATGCTGCTTTAACACTCTGTTCATCAAATCCATGGATGTTGCAGGAGCATTAGTTAGTCCAAATGATATAGTACATATTCATAATGACCATACTAAGTTCTAAAAATTGATTTTAGGATGTCACTATTTCTGACTCTAATTTAATGATAATCAGATCTGAGGTCTATCTTTGAGAAATATCTAACACCTTGAAGTTAGTCAAACAAGTCATCAATCCTGGGAATGGGATACTTATTCATAACTTTGACTTTATTCAACTACCTATAGTCAATGCACATTTTATGTGAACCATATTTCTTCTTCACAAACAACATTGGTGCACCCAATGGGGAATACTAGGTTTGATGAAGCCTTTATTTAGAAGATATTTCAACTACTCTTCAGTTCCTTAAGCTCAGCTAGAACCATTCTCTAAAGAGGAATAGAAATAGGCTGGTGATTGGAAGAATATCAATTCCAAATTCCATTTCCCTTTTTGGGAGGAACTTTGGAAGATATTCTAGTTTACTTCTAGAAACTCATTAACTACTAGGATTGACTCAAGAGTTGGGGTTTCGGTGCTAGAATCCTAAATCCAAACTAGATGATAGAGACAATACTTAGAGATCATATTTCTAGCCTTAAGGTAAGAAATGAATTGACCCATAAGCTCTAAGCTACTAAACTTCTATTCAAAAACTTTTTCATCTAAAACTGAAAATAAACAATCCTAGTTCTACAATTTACTGAGGCATAACATGAAAATAACCAATCCACCCCTAGATTGAAATCGAAGTTTACCATTTCTAACTCTACAAGATTTGTTGTGTTGCATTTATGAGAGAGTGTCAATGGTAAATTTGTGTGTACTCGTCTAACTATAACTTGGTCATTATCTAGAATAGAGACATAGAAGGGTTTTGATAGAGTTTTGGGACTAATATCAAAGTTGATTAATATATATGGAGTAACGAAGGAAAGAGTATCCTATAGATATAACAAAGCATAAACATCAGGATTAAAGACTCGTAATGTACTATTAAATACATCAGAAGAACCTTCTTCATCATGGTGAGTCTGAAGAGCATGGAACGTATTCTGGCACTGGCGCAACCTGTAACAAATGAGTTACCCTTCTGAGTTTGAGCGACTTGTTGGTACTGTTGAATTTGTAAATTAAGCTCTACCATTATTTCCTCTTTGAAATTATTTAGAAGGGACGTCCTTCAACTTGTGACCAGGCTGACTACACCCATATCATCATTCTTTTCTTGCAAGTCACTCACCTCGATGTTTCATACCACACTTTGGGCAAGTTAGGTAGGTTTTGGTACATGAAACACTTCCTTGAGACTTAGAGACTGATGCCCTACCTTTATGGTCATGCCTGAACTTGGAGGATGAAACATTAGCTAATAGAGGTTGGGGCTGAAAGTTTTTTCTTACCTTGAGAGAGATTTCCACCACCCGATTTCTACTAAGAATACTCACACTTCCCATTGTTCTCTTTAGACTTCTCCCTAAGCTTATCTCCCTCAACCTATTGAGCGTGAGTCATGAGACTACGGATGTTCATGTTTTCCAGCAACATAGCATTGTACTCTGTTTTCACTAGGTCTTACACTCCATATAGAAATTTATTCATATAAGCCTTAGATTCAGCAACCATGAGAGGAACTTACCTGGAGAGTTGAGTAAACTTAAGTGTATACTCTTGGGCTGTTATGCTACCTTGCCTCAAGTTGATGATTTCCTGAGCTTTTCCCTCGGTTAGCTCTCTTGGGAAAAATCTATCCAAAAAGGTTTCACTAAAGCTTTCCCAAGTGATAAGAGGTGCACATGTACCGTTGTTCTGTTCCCATTGAGTATACCAGATATGAGCTACATCCTTAAGTTGGTAAGATGCCAACTCAACCCGATCCTGCATCACTTCAAAGATATTCTTGAACTCATCTTTGAAGTTTTAGGGCTCCCCACCAATATGTGATCCTATGAACTTGGACGAGTTTATCCTAATAAAATCTCTCAATCTAGCTGCAACTGACCCAACTATTGTATTCGCCATAACTGAAACCTGTTGATTGTTTTAGCTGGTCACACTCTGAGGCAACATCATAGTATTCTGAAATTCTGCATTCAAAAGTTCTTGATCTGGGAATGGAGGAGCTGCATTTGCATTTCTCTAATTCGTATTCTTGGCGTTATCTCTATGAGGAGGCATGATCTGAAATATAGAACATCAACTTAGAATTGAATTAGATCATACCTTACGCACGACAAGAGTAATAAGAAGGTGATGATTTTTCTAGGACATCCTAGGACTCTTGAACTTAGTGTTGTGATACCAAGTTTGTCATGCTCTAAAGCTACCTTAGGACGTTGACACGGGACCTTGGATAATGGGTGACCCCAAGCTAACCCTACTGGCATAACATAAGCATACTAATAAGGGAAAAGGGTCAAAAGTACCCTTGGACTATTTGAAAAGGTTTTAAAATATCCTTTATTCACCTATTGGATTAAAAATACCCCTTCATCCACTTATTTTGTCCACAATTACCCTTAAAAGTAACAATCTTTTATTTTTTAATTATTATTATTATTATTAATTATTATGTGGCCTCTTACTATTGGATAAATTTGAATTTCAACACATCAAAGTTTTTCTACCCTTATGACTCATACCCACATTCTTTGATCCAAACCCAATTAAAAAAATTATCAAAAAAAATAAATTTTTAAATGAACTCTTACATTTTAATTTTGCAGATACTATAGCTAGAGAAAATCCAATAAAGAAACATAACCCTTCCCCCGACACATCCTACACTTTCAAAGAAGCACCAAAGAAACAAATTACTAAAGCAACAATCAGCCTCCACCCAAATTATAATACAATTACTAAACCGACAATCAACCTTCACCCAAAATTCCACTTCCTACGTTCCACACAACTCTTCACTGAAAATAGGTTTTAAGGTTTGAAGGGGAGAGAAGATATAAAGGTCTTTTAATTTTGATGAGTTTTTTAATTTGGTTTTTGTCAAAGAATATGAATTTGGGCCAAATAGGTGGAGAAAATTTTGGTGGGTTGAAATTTAAATTTATCTAATGGAA